GTACACGCGTCCTCGTGACGTGCCGTCGATCTCTGTGATCATGTTACGCACGTCTTTCAGTGTGAGGAATGTCAGTGCATTTCCTGGCTGGTTTCGTATATCTCGATACGAACGTCCGTAAGTTAGATCTAACGGGTGCGGCAGAAAATCCTGAGATATTCTCGTTTGTTCACCCATAGGCAATTGTGTTTGCCGGCTTAATCCGTTAACTTGCACACGGAGATCGCGTATTTCATCCATTAATTCTCGAAGGAGACTGTTATCGGGCGGTGCGTCGATTGTGACGCGGCGGTTCGTTCGACTTTCTTGGGGTCCATGTCTCTCGACCGAATGTCGTAGTTGCAAAATTTCGTTGTCGATTTCATTCTGTTGTTCGACAGGTGAGTGAGCCATTTCGTTTATTAATGATTGGTATATGTTGAAAGAATTAAATATGCTTCCGTCTCGTAAATTCGTGTGTATGTGTTTGTGCGCTTGTACGTGTGTGTTAATGTGAGAGTCGGTGTCGTTCGGTTCGAGCAAGCTATAATCTTTTTCGTCGTACGGAAATTCGCGTTCGGTTATTACGTGGACGTTTTCGTTACTATCGTATCGTAGTATGCGGCGCACGTAATCGCGTATTTCTTTTAACGCGTTTCTCGCGGTATTTAACGCGGAGATAGTATGTGGAAATTTTACGGGATTATTTATTGACCGCGATTTTGGCCAAGTCGCATTTGCTAAGCTGTCCTTCGCTGCAGACATTCGCCTTTTTAAAATATAATTTTTCGGACTTAATAGTAGATAGATCGCATACGCTCGCATGGTCGCTGCTTGTGCTGGTGTGTCAGTTGGCTGCGTGTAGTAGTGTCGGTGAAGCGTCCTCGCTGTCTGGTATCGTTGTACACGGTCAGCGCTGGCTGTCTCTCGGTGCTCGTGGACTCTCTGGTCGTTGCTCCGCTGCCACTGGACACTCGTTGTCGTAGATCGGCACTCTACTAATGTTGCACTGTACACTTGACACAATTTCGTGGGAGGCTTATTTTTTGACGGGGCCTTTTCCGTCCGCCTGTTTTCTACAGGTCTTGTATTTTTTGCTTATCGGGAATTTGATTCTTCTGCCTGCTTGTAATTTATTATTACAGATCTTATCTTGTTTCTTCAAGAAAAAATTTTTTCTTCTTCTGCTCGTAATGCAATGCATCGGGGCTTACTCGTTTGATTTTGCTGGCTTGATTAACGATGATCCTTTCAAGTTGTTGTTCTTGGGGATGGTTTTGACAATCCCACCGTTGCCACCAAAATGTTGTATCCCAGATGGGCTACAACGATAATATTAGAGATAGTCGGGTTCATTAAGCCTAAGGAGTTGGGACTCCGAGCAGGATCAAAAGAAAGGAAAGGAAGGAAATCTTCTTGAAATCACTAACACACTTTTTTTATTTTACTTGGTTTATTTAACAAATGCACAATTTCTTGAATTTATATAGTATTGCTTATTTTATTTCTTTCACACACGGTTAAACGTCGGCGGACGGCTCGGCGCGTATCGCGTCATTCTGGCAGCCGACGACCGAATATGTCACCTGAGACGCTGATAGTACGGCTCACGTGAACTTCGCCGCGCTCTTGTAATATCTTGCGCGATAATTATAATGATTCCGAACGATACGTTATTCTTTACTTTTTGACTTTTGACTCTTGTGTAACCGGTTATATAGTCTGATCGATGCCCGGCATATCAGCATTCTGATCGATTGCGTCGATCGGTTGCGTGATATTGATTAATCAATATTACGCTCCGTTTGATCATCAAATTTAGGAATTTGCTGATAGGCTTTTTCGCAATGTTCTCGCGTGATGCATTTCTGCGGTCTTTCGAAAGACTGGTCGCAATTTCGGCGGTCACACATTTGTGTCGTCTTTCGAAAGACTTTTCGAAATTCATGCGACCTAATTTTATTGCCATGCGGACTACTTTTATTAGTTATTATTTTATTATTGGTTGTAGATCTGGCTACAACAACATTACTGATTTTCTTTCATTATATTACTTGATTTTCTTATATTAAACTATTCGATTTACTTATATTATATCACTGATTTTCTTTCATTATATCATTTGATTTTCTTACATTATATTATTCGATTTATTTATATTATATTACTGATTGTCTTTCATTATATTATTTGATTTTCTTATATTATCTTATTCGATTTACTTATATTATATTACTGATTTTCTTATATTATATTATTTGATTTTCTTACATTATATTATTCGATTTATTTATATTATATTACTGATTTTCTTTCATTATATTATTTGATTTTCTTATATTAAACTATTCGATTTACTTATATTACTGATTTTCTTATATTATATTATCTGATTTTCTTACATTATATTATTCGATTTATTTATATTACATTACTGATTTTCTTTCATTATATTATGTGATTTACTTATAGTATATTATTGATTTTCATTTCGTTTTAATATCATTATTTATATGAATTTCAAAGATAACTTAGAATTTAATTATCATATTCACATCTTATCTCATTATTATTACATATTTCTTATTTTTATATTGATTAAGTTGTATTTCATTATTATCATTATATTATTATTATTATTATTTTCTTTATTATTATTATTTTAACTATATTTTAACTGTATAAATTATTGCAACTATTTATTCGTGTTATATTTTACAATAACCTAAGAAATCATTCCTTTCTGTCATAAAAACGCTGCTTAAGCGGCGTCTACAATGAAACTTTAAGACGTAAGACTTAAGAAATTGACCAACTACAATCGATTATTCTTCTATAAATCGATTATGATTCTCATTGTAGACACCGCTTTAAGCAGTAAGACTTAAGCAGTAAAGAAATCAACGTTAGTGTCGGTCCACAATAAGTATTTAATCTTTAAGCCGTAAGAAATTGACCAATCATAGTCGAGTATTTTTTTCATATTCGATTATAATTGGTCAATTTCTTACTTCTTAAAGCTTAAATTACCTATTGTGGACCGACACTTATGGATTTGCTACTGCTTATGTTACTGTCTGTTTTCGACTGTGGTTGGCTAATTTGCTTACTGCTTAAGTCTTACTGCTTAAAGCGGTGTTCATCTGTTTAAGTTTTTTTATGTGCCACGGCCCATAGACATTTTTATTAAAAATCTTAAATATCTCCATTCTTTAATTCTGTTTTAGAAATTTTTTTCATTTTGTATTAAATAAATTTCTTTCCTAAATCTGATTTTATGTGTGTGTGTGTGTGTGTGTGTGCGCGTGCGTGCGTGCGTGCGTGCGTGCGTGCGTGCGTGCGTGCGTGCGTGCGTGCGTGTGTGTGTGTGTGTG